CCCCCTTAAGTTTGCCTTCCACCCTCACAAGAAGCTACAATTCTGGTGGCTTTCCTGGCCCCTGGATTCATCCTGGATTTTTTTTTTTTGGTAGTGTGAGTGGGCCTATGCTCTCTAAGGAGGTATCTAATAGGAACAGCACTCCACTTTAAGGCTAATATAAAATAACCCTAGCATATCCCACCTTTTTTCTTCCCTCTCTTCCATGAGTGTTTCTTTCACATCCAAGCCTGATTAAAAGTTCTGAAGAACTCAAACCTGAAACCTTTTAAGTAAAAGTTCTCCTGTATGTAGATCTTTTTATTTCCTGTAAAAATGAGTCTACAGACCACTATGCATTTCATTGCTCCTTTAATAATGAACACTCTGGGTAATATATGAACAATCTGCTTACAGATCAAGTTATTTTGGAAGTTGGGGTTAGATTAGCTTTCAGTAGAGAAGTAGCATTTGCAGCATTTGTTTAAAATGTAGGAGTCCTAGTGAAAGTACATACTTTTGATTAGAAAAAATGTGCATCTGCAACAGTGTTATTATTACAATTCTATTTTAATATGCAAAGGGCTCTTGTAGCACCTTAGAGACTGTGTGAAAGAAATTGTAGCATAAGACCAAGTCTATGAAAGCTTATTTGCAACTTCTTTCACACAGGTAGTCTCTAAAGTGCCACAAGATCCCTTTGCATACTGATATTCCAGATTAACACAGCTAGGTGTTTCAATCCTATTTTAACTTTTCCTTTGTGTGCTTGTGTGCTGTGATGCATGGACACACATTAAACAAATCAACTGACTTACTATATATATAAAAAAATCAGATGACATTGCTGACAAAGTGTTGTATTTTCATGCCTCTCATTTGGTCCTCTTTTTCAGAGCTCCATTTTCCCAGATTTTTCTTTAAAAAAATGTTTGAGCATTGGACTAGGACTCTGGAGACGTGGGGTCAAATCCTCATTCAGCTATGGAAACTCAAAATTTGATCTTAGGCAAGACACACACTCAGCTTCAGAGGAAGGCACAGGCAAATCCCTTCCAAACAAATCTTGCCAACAAAACCCCATGATAGTTTTGCCTTAAGGTCACCATAACTTGACTTGAAGGCACACCACAAGCAGAAAAGCTGTATTCACCAGCCTGCCTTGGTTTTCCAATGTGATATGGAGGCATCTGGTGGAGGAAAGGCCATTAGCTGAGGAGGGCTGGCAATTTTTTATAGATAGATTTTAAAACATTTTTGTATACTTATTATAAAATTTTGAATGAATAATGTAGCCAGATAATGAATTATTGAACACAGTATGCACGAACAGCAAACTCAGACCAGCTATCACTCATTAAAAGCTTTCTCAAAAAATCACGACAGTTTTACATCTATGAAATGTCAGCTGGGAGGAGGTCATATATCCCAGAAACACATTGGTACCACAGTTTTAATCCAGCTTCTTGCTGATTGTGGAAGACCAGCATGGCATAGTGCTTTGTGCATTGGACAACCCACTGGAAGTCACATGCTTTCAGCCTCAGGGGAAAGCAATGACAAACCTCTTCTGAACAACTCTTGCCAAGAAAATCCAAATATAAGTTCTCCTTATGGTCAGCATTTGTCAGAAATGACTTGAAAACACACAACAACAAAGTGCCTTTACCTGAAGAACCCATGTAAGGAATCGTATTCCTTTTCTCCTGGATTTCCATATACAGATTGCACTCTGTATTGCCCTTCTATTCCTCCCTTATGGGATTCTTTGCACTTCTACTTCTTTAAAGTAGAAATTATAGCTATTGATAGGCAGGTTGCAAGCAGTCTTATGATTCCATCCAGATTCTGGATTGCTAAGTAACTGCAGTTGCTATAGAAAGATATTGTAGAGCCAGATAGACCATAGTGCAAAAAGGGTGGTCAAAGTTGCCAAGATCTTGAGCAATTCTTCCTTGTATTTGGAAAGAATGCAGAAGGGGTGTGTTCTTTAATTTACAAGGTGGGGATAGAAGAGCAATAGGGAACTTGACAGTGGTGTATAGAATTATGCATGGTGTGATTCAAGAAGTCAAACCACTTCCCACTCCCAGAAATAATGGGTACCACATGGGTAAAATATGGAACTTGCTATTTGTTTGTCAAATGGAAAAGAAAAAATGCAAAATAGTTTACTTCTGTCTGGAAGAGCTTTCCTGCACTGCAAAGATGCACTGCAAAGTTTTGTTTCAAAACCCACTTACATTTATCTTCCAAACATTTGGAATAGCAGTTCATGGATCTGAGAAAGTGAAGCTTAGGGATTTACATAAGAAATTATTTTTAAAATTAACTTCCCATATCATCCTCATTCATTAAAATTAATATTGTCTCTCCCATAAGCCAAGTCACTCTTTTACTTGTAACTCCATACTGTACCATTATTTATGGGGGAATATTGATAATATACTGACATAAAATTTGCAAAATCCTTTTCCATTCACCTTGTGAGAGAATGAATTTCTACTCCATGAAATTTTCCCCTTAAAATGGGATAAGGACTGTTTTTCATGAATGTGTGCTTCCTCCACTTTTTTCACTGATAAATTCCTCCACAAGGTCTCATGGATTGGACAGGGAATATATTTGGGCTGTAGGTACTCTATTTGCTCAGTGCAGGAACTTCCATGGGGTCAATATGAGTATTATGAACATGGAAAATTATTAAGATATATATTCCATATCATGTGGTGAAGGGGCAGGGGGAGACTGA